GTAATGACCGCGACCACCATCACGATCACAGTCATAAATTATAATATACAACACCCACATCATCTGTACACACACTTCCATGATTACCAACGCTTGTTATCATCAATCGTTACCATAATACACACGTATACAATAGCCCAGTTAAAATAATAAGCATGTCCCCTCCTGGTGCATCTCCAAACAGATGCTTACAGCCTTCTATGATGACATCTCTGTAAATCTCCCGACTCCATGCGTCCTTGGTCTCTCCCGATATATATCGAACTCCCCATCTCTCAACGCATCTCCCACCACTCTCTTCCTCCTCTCAGTCCACATTCATCTGGTCAGTGCGCATGTCCCAATCTTATAAAAACGTTTAAAGCCAGGGAGATTCATTGCTGCCTCCGTGCGGTTTTGATATTGTTGTGTGTGCTGTTTGTGATGTCCGTCCGTGTGTCGCCTCGCTGGTTTTTTTGTGTGGTTTGGCCATGTTTTTGTTTATTGTAGTACGGAGTTAGGCTGATGGCCTTAAACTTAGTTGTCTTGTGGTTGTTGTTGACTTGCGTGCCACTGGGATGTTTTGCACACAGCGTTGGTGTACGGTGCTATCTCAGGCATATTTTGATGTTTTTTTGTGTTCATGGATTTTCTGTTTGTACAGTCAACACAAAGTAGTCACTTTAAGACGTTTTTATTGTTCGTGTTTTAGTTTTTGTGTTTGTTGTGGTTGCACCCGATTCAAGAGCCGAATGGCTCACAGGGCTATACCAAAATAAATAGAACTATGAACTACGTGGGGGGGGGGGGGCTGGTACGTGTGGGGGGGGGGGGGGGCTGCTACGTGGGGGGGGGGGGGGGGCTGCTACGTGGGGGGGGGGGGGGGGCTGCTACAGGGAGGGGGGGTGGCCCTGCTCCTTACCTGCCCAGGTCGCCCTTCCTCCCACGCGGCGTGCAACGACGCCGTCCTGGAGAGACGCTCATCGGTGGTTGTTGTTGTTCATCAACTGGTCCTGGAGAGACGCTCGGTTTAAGTTTAATTAACTCGCGGTGGTGGTGGTTGTTGTGGTTGTTCATCAACTCGTCCTGGAGAGACGCTCGGTTTAAGTTTTTAATTAACTCGCGGTGGTGGTGGTGGTTGTTGTGGTGGTTGTTGTTGTTCATCAACTCGTAGAAGGTTGTCGTGGAGTTCTCGACCGCGGACATTTCTGGCTGCTCCCCACGATGGATTAGGAGGATGCCCAGAAGCCACAAGACGTGTTTGAAGGAACTCGCCATGTTTAGCAAAACATGTTTTATTTTATTTTTAACAATTTTTTTTAACAAAAATCAAATAAAAGTCTCCTCAACGATATTCTTGTTACTTTCGGTAAAGTCACCACGTAGAAGGGAAACAATAAAATAATAAAAATTTAAAACAATAAAAATTCTCACGACGTTTCGACCGCAACGCACAAGCAAATCGTCATCAGGTGTGAAAACCACAGCCAACGATGGCAAAGTTCGCGGTCGTCGTGACGACACTTCCGGCGGCGTGACGTCACCCAATGGTTATTACGTCACTAGCACGTGACGGACACCACGTGTGGTTGGAGCGGTTTGAATGGCGGTGAACGGAAATAGTTTACGGTTATATATTATTAGTTCTTTCGGTAAAGTCACGTTGAAGGGAAACAATAAAATATATATAAAATAATAAAGAACTAAGAATATTAATTACTGCAGTCACGAAAGCTTTAAATCAAAATTTAGTTTACGGTTACTTACGATGGATGGACTTGTCCCCGTCGTACGAACATGGAATTGCAACCGATTACTCCAGGGCCTGTAAACGGGTAAGATGAACGCCGCCTCTTATGCTCATTTTAGCAGCAAATTCTCTTGAACTGACTCGTGTTTTTATTTGATGTTTACCAGTTAAGTTTACATTTACATTGTTTATGCATATGTAAGGCCCTATCAAAATAAATTTCACTTTAAATAAAAAATACCTTAAGGTCCATAGATCGTAAAGTTTAATGTAAATTAATTAATTTAAATAGCAGTGTGAAATGTGCATATAAGTTTACGTTATGTGTATACATTTCCATCTGACTTATATTTACATCTCAATTGCATGTTTGAAGCCTATCAACTTATATATTTAGCCCTCCATAGTCTCAGTGGCTGAGTAAACAAGTCTCCCCCCATGCTAAAGTTAGTACAGTACAGCTATGTGGGTAAGTTAATAATTGTTGTTAAATGGATGGACTTAACCCCGTCATACGATCGTGAAACTTCACCCGGTGACCTCCAGGGCCAGTAGATGAACACTAACTCTTACGCTTCATTCGAGCAGCAAATCACCTTTGACGTGACTTTACTTACACTTAAAGAGTTAACTATACTGTACTGTACATCTAATTGATCTTTAACAAATAAGGGATTCCTCTACTCCATACCCCCTGCTCACTAACGAAGCCCTCCCAGTTTGTGTATTCGCTGCACCTCGGGGTGAGCTCTTGTAGAGTTTGTTTTAACCGGGAGCTAAAGTTAGCTAAAGTAATAAACCACAAAACGGTGTATAGAGTAAAAAAAACCCAGTGCATATATTTGACGCACTCGTTAAGAGCCTACACACAGAGCACCAAACTTACACACAATTAAAACTACACCCCTCCCCCCTCCAACTTATATCGCGGTGTGTGTGGTGGTCATTTTAAAAACAAAATTAAGTTTAATTAACTCGCGGTCACTGTACAATTAGTTGTACTGTACTCATGCTTGGCGCCCGGAATGGTTGCTGTGTATTTATCTGCCGATATTAACATTTCCGCGCGCGCTTCGTTGAACTATTATGAAGAAACAAAAAGCTACTATATTTAGTGGCTTAGTTGAGTAAATATACGGATAGTCCCCGACTTACGATATTTCGATCTTAACGATGGCGTTAGCGACAAGATTGTTTAAAAAAATAATTTCTCCCAGCAAGCAAACGCAGCATCAGCAGCAGCGTACTTTAATGTGGCCATCAACAAGCTTAACATCTTGATTTTAAGCTTTCGTGACTGCAGTAATTCATATTCTTGGCTCTTTCGGTAAAGTCACCACGTATAAGGGAAACAATAAAATAATAAAAATATAAAAAAAACAATAAAATTCTCACGACGTTTCGACTGCAACGCAAGCAATCATCAAATTTTCTTGACTGTGGTTTTCACACCTGATGATGATTGCTTTGTGTTGCAGTCGAAACGTCGTGAGAATTTTATTGTTTTTTATATTTTTATATATTTTTATTGTTTCCCTTCTACGTGGTGACTTTACCGAAAGAACCAAGAATAAGCTTAACATCGTTCAAGTATATCCTTAGCTCTTTCGGTAAAGTCACGTTGAAGGGAAACAATACAATAATAAAAAAATATATAAAAACAATAAAATTCTCACGACGTTTCGACCATAACACAAACGGTCATCATCAGGTGTGTTGGTTTGCATATCGTTCAAGTATGCCAGACGACGGACAGAATGTATGATGATACTTTGCTTTAGCGATTTCATTCATTTTAGGGTTACCATGATACAATACGTAGGTTCAATGCACGTTAAACGTGTTTTTTTATATATGTAGCAGATAGGATTGTTTCATGAAAAAAAAAACGTTCCGTTATATTGCAGTTCATATAGGTAGGCTGATAATTTGACCTTGTTTTTTTTTACTTTACATCTTACTGTGCCAATACAGTATTGTAATTAATAAATACAGTATATACTTTATACAGTACGGTACTGTATATTTCTCTGTTTTGCTAAATTATCACCATTCTTTAAGACTTCTGGGTTAGGCTAGGCCCATCTTCGACTTACGATATTCTTGACTTAACGATGGAGTCGTAACGCATCTCTATCGTAAGTCGGGGACTACCCTGTATCGTAAGTCGGGGACTACCTTTATATAGTGGCTAAGTGGGGTGGGGCTTAACTGGGTAAATATATAAACATGGGAGAATTTAACACTGGCGTCTATAGGATAATTTCAGATTGGCGTCTGTGGGAGAATTTAACATTGGCGTACCTTTGAGAATTTAACATTGTAGTCTATGGGAGAATTTAACATTTTAGTATATTTTGATTTAAAGCTTTCGTGACTGCAGGGATTCATATTCTTGGTTCTTTCGGTAAAGTCACCACGTAGAAGGGAAACAATAAAATAATAAAAATATAAAACAATAAAATTCTCACGACGTTTCGACTGCAACACAAGCAATCATCATCAGGTGTGAAAACCACAGTCAAGAAAATTTGATGATGATTGCTGCTTGTGTTGCAGTCGAAACGTCGTGAGAATTTTATTGTTTTATATTTTTATTATTTTATTGTTTCCCTTCTACGTGGTGACTTTACCGAAAGAAACAAGAATATATAAAAACATGTTTATAGTTTAGTTCGCACGCGTGCGTGTGTGTGGCGTTGACGACTTTGGGGTTAACCGAATCTCGATACTAAACAAAAAAACATGAGTCATTTACTTCACAATTAACGCAAGACGCAATGATTCTGTTCAACAATTGCTGCCCCTTTTTTGAGTCTCGTCGATACTGATCTCTGCATGCTTTCCACGTGGCTCTGGAACTCTGCGATTAGCACGGTTGGCTACGTACGGTGCGAAAGAAGTTTAACACGTATACATTGCTTCTGCGTTTGGGTTGGTGGATGTAGATCCATGGGCAGGCGAGAGCGGTTTTGGGTTTTTGTTTTGTTTAGTGCACTTGCCTCAAGGTGCACCTAGCCTGGCACAAGCGCCGTGGTTGACGTCTCCCGGCAACTTAGTCGTGAAAGGCGGCGGCTGTTTGTTTGGTTGTTGTTGTTGTTTCTAGTCGCGAGATGTTGATGCTTTCATTGTAAACACTCTACAGAGACCTTGACCGTCACCGTGTCGCCTGTGACAGACTGTTGGGGCGAGCGCTGTCAGCGAGGAGCAGCACCTGTGAAGGCCGGCACCGGGGCACACGGAGGGGGTGGGGTTGGCCAGCAACCACGCCCGACCGCCTTTGTCTTCCCAGTGGGCGATGTTTTTCACAGCACACCAGGTAACTGGTATTGGTGTGGTCTGGCCGATACGGTGTAAGGCCACCAATAATTCACCTGCACATCTCATCGGCTGAAATACTAATTTTGCCTAGGGGGGCAGCATGGGGGAATATAACAAAAAAAAAAACCCCGCTTAGAATCAACAATAAGAAACGGATGTTTATTTACACGCTTTCTGTTTCGATCCAAAGCTTTCGTGACTGCAGGGATTCATGTTCTTGGTTCTTTCGGTAAAGTCACCACCACGTAGAAGGGAAATAATAAAATAATAAAAATAAACCGATAAAATTATCACGACGTTTCGATTGCAACACAAGCAATCATCATCAGGTGTAAAAACCACTGCAAGGAAATTTGAAAAAAGTGTTTTTCACACCTGATGATTATTGCTTGTGTTGCAATCGAAATGTCGTGGGAATTGTATTGGTTTATTTTATTTAATTATTTCCCTTGTACGTGACTTTGCTGAAAGAACCAAGAATACACGCTTTCTATTAACTCTGTTGTATCCTGAAATCTTGTAACTACATTTTTACCCACTTCCCAATGTGGTATCGACTGCAAACTTTTAAACATGTTTTATATGTTACTAGCTGTACTACCCCCGGCTTCGCCCGGGACTTGGATCCACCACACGCCTTTGTCCCCCCAGTGGCGATGTTCACACACCACAGCAGTTACTCGTTTGAGGCTGAGTCGACCTTGGGGAGACCCAGGACCGGTTAAAATAATCGTGGGGGCAGTGAGCTGGAATCGAACTCGGGTCGCCGGGTTCGTAGCGCAGCGCGCTAACCACTACACTACAATGCGTTACGCTTCCACACACACACAGATTACACACACACAGACAGATTACACACACACACAGACACACAGATTACCCACACACACAGCACGCTAACCACTACACTACAATGCGTTATGCTTCCACATGCGAGGGTCACGTGACAGATTTGACGTCACAGCTCACTTGCCGTGCAAAAAATAAATGCATTATTGAGCTCACCCCCCCACCCCCCCCCCCCCCCAAAAAAGTGTATTTTTATAATTTTTGCATGGTGTACAGTCTGGAAAGTACCCACATGGCAAATTTCAAGTTTGTTGCATGTCAGGAAGTACGCTCAACATTTTTGAACAGACACACACATTCACAACTTTGCCTTTGATATATATGGAGATGTTTCAGCTTGGGTCTAATTGTCCACGCTCAACTGACGTTGGCTGTAAATCACCACGGGTTCCCTTACGTCACGGCAAGCTTCGGGGCCACTTCCTGGAGTCGTGGAGTTATTACATTACCAGTGGGGTACATTAAAGCGTGCTTTAAAAAAAAAAGTGGTTTTTTTTCTAAATATTATTTTCTTATTTCAATCGTTTCACCCCAGAGGAGAACATCACAGTCACTCGACTTTTTCAGGAGGGGCGGGGGTGGGGGGCGTGGGCTCTGCAATAATTTGCGGCCAAAGTTGCTGCAGCTGCTGTCCAATTCTAATTTCACAGATTTTAAGGGATTTGTTTCAGGATTGCGATAAGTATGACCGGTACCGGTTACCTTGTAGGGTGACTACTGTACAGTTTCAACAGAGGCGCAAATGTAGAGACACTCCCCACGCGGTCTGGAATCTAACCCAGGTGGCTTTATGTGGCTGTGATGAACAACAAGCGGTTAGCCCGCTGTGTCCGCCACCCTAATTCAAACTGGCGTCGCGATCAAACTTATTGATTTTGGCTCTGGAAATGGGGGGCGGGGGCAAACAAACAAACAAACAAACATCCCCGAATCTTCGAAAGAAAGTCACCCGGAGTGAATCTTCTGCTGGATTAATCCGTAAACTCGCCCCCCCTCCCCCCTTACCGGCATTGTCCTCTCGAGTTGGCCGCCGATTAATCATCTCAATCGAGCAAATTGTCCAGGCTCACGATTGCAGTTCGGAATGCAAAACCAAGTAAAAACATCGATCATATTAAACTCGAGATGTCTCGCATCCTAGCGATCAATTATGCAAATCGTCGCGATTCGGCGATTCCGTTTGGTTTGCGATTGGATTCCAGAATGAAGATTCCTGAATGTATTTTAGCATTGTGGTGGGGGTGTTGTGTGGGGGCGTTGGGTTGGTTAACATGGACCCATTGTGTATATAACTGTAACAGAGCACGTGTGGTTAAAGCAGTACTTAATTCCTTGCAATAGGTTTATATTTGGTGTTTGAACATCTTAACACCTGCTGTTTTATTGCCGGAAACGGTAAACGCTATTGTTCTTTATACTCTTTGGTTCTTTCGGTAAAGTCACGTAGGTGGAAATAAAATGAAATAAATCACGACGTTTCGAACGCAACACAAGTGCCCGTCTTCAGGTGAAAATCGTGACAGCTGCGATGTCTGCTCCCTTGTGAGGAGTATGGATCCCTGCAGTCACCAAAGCTTCAAATCACTATTGTTATTTTTTCATACTTTGATACTGGCAAAAATGTCCCAATTTTCTAGCTGCTCACTCCAAGTTATAAATGCTCTGATAGTACATTGTTTTTGTATCGTTCGCCTTTTGGCGTTCTCTGGTCTGACACTGGTGAGACTAGGCCCTAAAGAAGGCTGTCTATGGTGTAGGCCAATCAGTTTCCAAGACAATGCCCATATATTATCAGAGCATGTTTGTTTGCATGTTCACCACAAGTAGTGTGTGTGGTGTCATGCAGACTTGATTCCTTGCAAAAGGTTTCAATTTGGTGTTTGAACATCTTAACACCTGCTGTTTAATTGCCAGAAAGGGTAAAACATTCTTATTTTTTCATCCTTTGATACTGGCAAAAACGTCCTGTTGATTTTGGCTCTGGAACCAGGTCCAACCAAAATTCCCATGATTTTTCGCAATGGGCCCATACCTCCCATCCACGTGCCAACGGGCTACGTGTCACAGGCGAGCCACAGCACAGCACCGACATTTCAGTCGTGTTCCGGAGATCTCCGCTTATCCTCCGGCCCTGTTACCCGCACGCGGCGACTCTCTTATCCTCGAAAGATTTGCGGATGACGGGATTATGTCATTCCACGTTGCAGGGATGGGAAAACACATGTGGATATCCGTGGGTGATATGACGAACAGGGGTGCGAGTAATAGGAGTTTTTTGTGGACCGTATAGGACCGGCGGATGACAGGATGCAAGGGTAATATTGGTGCGGACAAGAGTTGTATTTGAACTCTTGTTTACTGAGAAGGTACTGGTCAGGTATTTTTCAAAGCAGGACTCACCATAGTGTGTTGTGAGACTTATCAAAGCTTTGCAGGACTCATTAATTGTATTATATTTGTTATTGAAAAATATATTTTAAGTGTGTGTTTTATTTTTATAAAACTTGGTGGCTGTTTTGATTAGGCTTTAAAGAGATGTAATTATGACTTAAGTCGTATTTAAACACCAGAATGTGAATACCATCGATTTGCATATGAAGAATGCAGCTCAGCAGACCTTTGACAATCCACGGCTAGATGAAGGCCTTTCTTTTTGCCATGTTGATGATCTGGGTTGTTTGACCATAACTTCACTACGCTTAAATTTCGATTTAAAGCTTTCGTGACTGCAAGGATTCATCTTCTTTGGTTCTTTCGGTAAAGTCACGTAGAATGAGAATAAAATAATAAATTGATAAAATAAAATAACACAATAATATTCTCACGACGTTTCGGCCACAACACAAGCGGCCTTCATCAGGTGAAGGGACGAGACTGTCTGGTAGGACAGCGCTGGAGTGAAAAAGCCACGCTCAGATCACAACCTTTAAGCTGTGTGAGAAGAAACAAAGCGCCTTGACAAAGGAATTAGCATATAATTTAGCATTGAAATGGCTTATTGAAATAGCTAAGTTAAAGTATACACATCCGCAGAGGTACCCCTTGACAAAGGAATTCGCAAAGAATTTAGCATTGAAATAGCTGAGTGATTAGCTTGTGACTGGTCACAGAAATGGCTATGTTAAAGTTAAAGCATACACATCCACAGAGGCACCCCTTGACAAAGGAATTAGCATAGAATTTAGCATTGAAATAGCTAAGTTAAAGCATACACATCCACAGAAGGCACCCCTTGACAAAGGAATTAGCATATAATTTAGCATTGAAATGGCTGAGTGATTAGCTTGTAACTGGTCACAGAAAAGGCTATGTTAAAGTTAAAGCATACACATCCGCAATTGCACCCTTTGACAAAGGAATTAGCATAGAATTTAGCATTGAAATAGCTAAGTTAAAGCATACACATCCGCAGAGGCACCCCTTGACCGCGTGGGTTGGCGATGAGCAGTGCTTCAGGTATCACTGACCACTGATGTTGGCCATGGCTGGGAATTTCAGTCGGATCTCCGACTTTGTCGTGCAGTGTACGTATCAAACTTGATTTGGCACTTTCATGACTGCAGGAATTACTCTTTGGTGCTTTCATTGTACGTATGTTGAACTTCTTTATTACCGTACGTAGCCAACCGTGCTAATTCAAGTTTATTTTTTAGGTATATAGCCCTGTGAGCCACGCACCTCTTGACTCCGGTGCAACCGCAACAAACAAAAACATGAACAAGGAAACATCTTAAAGTGGCTACATGCAACAGAAAAATGCAGGAAAAAAACAGCAAAGTCTTCCAGAAAAAACACCGCATTTCAACGCTGTGTGCAAAAATTCCAGTGGGATGCAAGTCAAACAATAACAACCATAAGAAAATTTAGATTAAAGTTATCAGGCTAACTCTGTACTACAACAAACAAACATGGCTAAACCAAAACGTTATCAAAATCACCAAAATAGAGCTATAAAAACAACGTAACAGTGATCGACCGAGGCAAGGCCATAACCGATTCAGACAATCGTCACTGGTCTTTGCCGTGAGCGGGAATCTAACTAGTTGGCCGACTTTGTGGCGAAGTGTGTTCATCACGACACTACCGCTTCCCACATTTACACACTCACGCAAAGACAAATACCCGGCAGCACCACGTTGGTATCTGAATTCAATATTTGGACAACAGAACATGTATTTACATTCGTATTCATGCGTGTTATATACGAAGTGTATTTGTTGGGGTGTGTGCACCTTCTACCAACAGTCTGTTCAGAAGGGTGCGCGAGGCGCGTGCGAGTGGTTCGTGTGCTGGGCTCCTCTCTGATTCGTGCACCACGGAGCACGTGACGTGCCGTGACGTCAGCCAAATAGCTGCGTTCTTGCCACGCTCAAGGTTCCCGAAGGATGACCTCGTACGAGAAGATTGCACAGAAAGACATTGGCATGGTGAGTGGAGCGAGTGTCGCTGTGTGTGTGTGTGTGTAGATTCCCGTGTGGGGAGTAGGCAGGGCTGTTGCCTCGCTAGAGGAGTAGCGCGAATTTATATTCTACAGTGGTTGAGATTTATTTGAAAAAGTCGTGGGCCTCTTCTACGTCCACTCAGACAAAAAAACATTACCCAATGTGGAGACCTCCCCTTGAAAACATCGGCATAGGGGAGACAAAGGTGGCCAGGCGTGGTGTGCCGTGCTGGTCTTCAGCACGGCTCTGGCCCAAGGCTACCAGGGGGGGGATCTTCGTCTCTGCAGCTGTACGTGAGGAGCGTGCTTAGCGGCACGCTTCACAATTTTTTCCCTCTGCCCCCGGTTCCCCTCCTTTTTCACTCCGGATTCTAAGAAGCCTGCGAGGTCCTCATCCACAGCCGCTTGGGCCGAAGCGGTCGCGGTCTACGAGGCGAACCAAGGTACTGAACATCTGTGAAATCGAGCTTTCGGGTTCATCGTATTCCTCCAGCGTGAATATAGATTGAGATTCTGACCAAAGACGAGGAAAGAAACCCCCCCGTGTAGCCGTAACAGACTTGGTGCAGGTGCTCATCACGAGTACCAGTCAACACCACCACTCGCTTGCTTCAGTGGGAAACAACTTTGACTTGCCCGTGCTTGATCGATAGTAAACAATTATTTAATACCGACGATGAGTACGTTAGTATAATAATAGGGGTTTTTCCCCTTTTTTCTGGCAACAAAACTGAAACCTTTTTTAACAAGGATTCATGTTACTACATTAACCACAATACTTGTGGTCAAAAATGCAACAACAAACAGGTCCCTGCAGGGTGGGCTGGTAGGACAAGTCTCTGCGCTGTCTATTGCTGATTTTACACCCAACAGCACGAGATTTCACTTCGTTAAAGTATTGAAAGGTGACGGACGGACGGACACATTAATCTATTGCAGGCTGGTACACTCAGTTTACAACTTCGTTCCTACCCGTAAAAACATGCTCTTATAATATGATGCATTGTCCTTGAATCTGATTGGTCCACACCAGAGACAGCTTTCTTTAGAGCCTCGACCCAATTGGTGCTCGACCAGATGACGCCAAAAGGCGTCGTACAGCTCAAAGACAATGCCACTATCAAAGTAATGAGGAGCTCGGGGTTAAGCATCTACATCATTGGACCTCCTCCTCCTTTGCCAGTACCAAAATATAATCATAATAACAATAAAAAAAGGTTTCAGTTTTGTTGCCAGAAAAAAAGTGGAAAAAACATTTTTTGTTATTGGCAAAGGAGGTGGTCCGATTACGAGTACATTCATACGTAGAGTTGATGACATTCAAGGTGTGTTACTCTTTGGCTTATGGCCGCATCTCCCAGCGGCACTTGTATGCACATTTGCCTCTTCGGTTTTTCCTCTTAAAAACGTGAGGAGTTGCCATCTTTTAAACAAGTAAGTTAGTGAGGATAGTCTCGGTAACAATAAGTAAATAAATGGTAAACAAGCGCTAATTGTGATTTAAAGCTTTCGTGACTGCAGTGATTCACATTCTTGGTTCTTTCGGTAAAGTCACCACGTTGAAGGGAAGCAATAAAATAATAATAATATATATAAAAGAATAAAAATTATCACGACGTTTCGACTGTAACGCAAAGAGTCATCATCAGGTGTTTGCTGATGATGACTGTTTGATGATGACTGTTTGCGTTACAGTCGAAACGTCGTGAGAATTTTATTGTTTTTTATATATTTTATTATTTTATTGTTTCCCCTTAGCGTGACTTTACCGAAAGAACCAAGAATATTAGCGCTAATTAAACAAATATGATGGCGATGTGGCTGGGCAACAACAAACCCGGGTAGCCATGGCAACTGTGCCCCCCCCCCCCCGCTCCAACTGTTGCCAACAGTCCAGGCCTCGAGCCCCGCCCTCTGGTGACGTCACTTCCACGACCTCTGTGGCCCCGCCCTCTTCTTCTGCAGGCTCCGCCCCCATCGTAGAACGTTACACGTTACAATTACGTTGATATTAAATATAAGTATATAATTACAATAAAAACATTGATGACATGGCCGTCCAGACACGTTACCTAGCCAAGGCCACCCTTCTCAAGGTCACGATGATGTCTTTGGGTCGTACATGTTGCAAGCTCCGTTCCAATCGCAATCTCTCCGTGCGGCCGACGTTCAAGTACAATGATAATAGCATGTTGACGTCGATGACTGAATGACGAATGTGAGTGCTGGCATTGCGTGACGATTAAGGCTACTGTCCAGGTACTGCCCAGTGCTGATGGCATTCCCCCCACTTTGCCCTAGTTCTCGCTTTCCCCCAGAATCCACCTCCTCCACGACGCCTGACTCCTGACGGGCCGAGCCGCCCCTGCCCGGATGTGAGCAGCTGCTGTCTGTGCCCGTGCGGTCCTCAGTTATATCTGAGGTCGACCAGTTCTCCAGTCGGGTTCTGGGAGGAGGCTGCTGTCAAGGACATCCGCCTCGAGATGGAGGCGGCCATGAAGCCACCTCAACGACCCCGGCGGAAAAAAGAGCAGCCGGACCCGACAGCAGCAGCCGATTGGCTCGTCCCGCAAAGCGACCCCCGAGCTGCGGTGGGGGTGACGGCGTGGGTCACAGAGGGCCTGCTCCTCCTGCGTGGCCGAGGAGCGGGTCCACGAAGTGGGAGGCCACCTGAGAGTCAACCTCTCGAATATTTATGATGACTTTTGCAGGAGGCCTTTAATCGGGAAAAAGGCGCTGCCACGGGGAGAAGATTTTCGTCTGAAAATCTTCTCTCCGCCTCCCCTCCATCCTGCTCCACCATCTCACCCCCCCCCCCCACCACTATCACAAAAAGCCCCAGCCCCCACCATCACTATTCACCGTGCCCTCCGCCACCACTATCTGCCCAACCCCCCCACCATTACCATCCGCCTCACCCTCCACCATCACTATCCGCCATAAACCCCACAATCACTATCCGACCAACCCCGCAACATCGCTATTCGCCCAACACCCCACCATTACTTTCCACCCCCAAACATCACTATCTGCCCAACCACCCACCGTCGCCTCACCCCCAACCATCACCATTCACCTCACCCCCCACCTTCACCAAATTTTGAAAACATAATGTATTGGGGCAGGAGGCACTGTGGAGTACCATTGTACATTAATCGGAATATTGGATAATTCGGCAAAGGCCAGAAACCCCATATGTGTCGCATTAACAAGCGTTTACTGTACACGCACGATGTTTTAAGTGTGTGTGTGTATGTGTTGAGCACATATAATGCACCTTTTTCTCGTGCACCGCAATCCACCTGCACACGTACGACGCGTTGACAACTGTGGTGAGGACCACAAGTTTTATTGGTTGTTGGAACAAATCTCGCCCACGCCCTTCCCACCGCGACCACAATGGCAATGTCCACCAAAGGGAGCAGCAGAGAGCCCCTCTAAAGCAACCATTTCGGTCCGGTGCAGTTCCATCCACTTGTGTGAGTGTGTGTATGCATGTGCTGGTCTTGGTGAGTGCATCGCTGCGTATTGTTCGTGCGAATCGTTCGCTACCAGACCACCTGGTATCGGGAGCAGTGTTCTCTGTTCATGTCAACGTGAAACCATTGGGGTCTCGATACCCGAGCCACGGCGGGACGTCTACAGCGTCACGGCGGGGACGCCGACGGCGCCGCGTGCCGCGCGGACGGGCAGACCACACCGGGGAACCAGCTCCGGCGAGCGCATCGGCTCCGGCGGCGGCGGCCACGGTGGCGGATTGTGGCGGAGTGACCAGCAGCGGTGGTCTTTGTCCGCGGTAACCATTGCGAGCGCCGGTACCCGCCGGCGATGTAACGGTGGACATCAGCGACGGGATGCCTCGCTGGCCAGCGTCGCGAGCGCCGGTCTTCGCCAGTGCCGGAGTGGTGGGCGGCAGTGGAGGCGGAGGAACGTGGGTCTGGTTGTGGCCGCATCCTGTCGCATCGTTGCGCGCACGTATTTCCCTCCGGACTGCAGCCATCCGAGGAGCAGGATACGTGGGCAGCTGCGGTGGAGGTGGGCTCGGCTGGTCAGGATCATGAGACTTGGTCTCCCCTGGCACTGGATGGGTAGGCAGCGGTGGAGGTGAGCTCAGCTGGCCAGGGTCCTGAGCGCTGGTCACCGCAGGTGCTGGAGGCGTGGGCAGCAGTGGAGGCTGGGGGACGTGGGCCTGGTTGCGGACACGTCTGCTCGCAGCGTTGCGTGCACGTCTTATCCTCCGGGCTGCAGCCGCACGAAGAGCAGGGCCGAGGGCTCGTCTGTGACCTCTGACCCTGCCCACGTTGGGCGCTGCCACCATCATCATCGGTTTCTGCAATTCAGCACAAAACAAACAGGATTGAATATGTCTTCAAAAGTAACAAAGATAAAGGTGCAAACCCAGAAACTGCATTCTCAAGCCACTGCCAGTGGACTGGCCTACACTCTAGAGAACTTTAGAGAGAGCCCATTCTAGAGGGCATGTGGCCTACGTTACACTGGAAAAAGTGGGAATACCCACACTTTTCATCACTAAACAGTCCAATGAATGGCTGTGGTCCAATGAATGGCTGTGGCGTAGCCATTTATGCTGCTCGTTAGACAGAGACTGGGAGGCATTAAAACAAACTTGCCCATGGTTTCAACAAGAAACGCTGAGACACGGAACGGAATCCGGGAACATCTGGATTGCAAGTGCAGCATATGGTAGCAAATGTATCTTTGAGTTGTCATCCTTTTCCTTTATATATTTGTACAGGTAGTCCTTTACTTACGATAGAGGTGCGTTACGACGACCCCATCGTAAGTCAAAATATCGTAAGTCGAAGATGGCTTTAGCCTACCCAGGAGTCTTAAAGAATGATGATAATTTAGCAAAACAGAGCAATGTACAGTACCGTACTGCATTAACTAAATGCTGTATGTATTTATTCATTACAATACTGCATTGCACAGTAAAGTAAAAAAAACACGCGGTAAATTCTTAGCCTACTTATATGAACTGCAATTTAATTGCAAGTTTTTTTCAGGAAACAATCCTATCTGCTATAAAAAAAAACTTTTTACATGCAATTTGTCGTATCGCCATCGTAAGAGCAAAATATCGTAAGTCGGACCATCGTAACTCGAGGACTATCTGTAATTTGCATTGAACAAGACGCGAGGCCGTTGCAGCCCATCAAGCATTTTGCAAGTCCGGCGAACGGCATATTAGACGCTTCTCAGTCGCGGAGAAGCGTCTAATATCGGTGGCGAACGGCATTTGAACCAGTCATTAACCTGCACCTTTCTAAGACCAGCTCGGACTAACCATCTTGGTGAAGTACGGTCAACACAACGCCACGAACACCACGGCATGGGGAGAGGCCTTCATCCAGCAGTCGCTTGACAAAAAAGGGCTGTACAATCATAACTGCCCATGCCGCTTAACATAAATTGGCCTGCTTTTGACTGGCCCTCAGTATTATGTCTTTACATCGAGTTGTTCAGTTTGTTGTGCTTCCCTCGTGCAAACTGATCATCCTCGCAGCAGCTTTTGGCTAACCAGATGCGCTTCTTGCGGCCGTCTGGAACGTTCTTCCTTCCGACATTAGAAAGCCACTTTTAAATCAAAATTTAAAACGAATTTTATCTGAACCAGTCCCGGGCCTCCCCAAGGTCGACTCGGCCTTTAAATGAGCACCTGGTGCGGTGTGTCGTTAACATCGCCACTGGGGGGAGACAAAGGCATCCGGGCGTGC